ACTCTAATAGTCAACTAATTATTATTATTTTATTTGTAAAAAGAACAAAATAGGATAATATACAACATAAAATCGATAAAAATTTCAATAATAATAAATATGTACTAAATTTACTTTTAGATAGTTTTATTTTGTCCCAAACAATGCAACTGAATAGATAGATAGTAAATTTCTTTTAGCAGTAAGAATTTACACTTCAACAAGTCATGATTAAGTATAAAAGTTTGAAAAAGAGTAAATCAGTTCATACATTTTGAAATAAACTCAAATCAAACAACAGCATTAAACTGCCTATACGTTCAATGAGCAGATACAATACAGCAACACCTAACAAAGGCTGAATACATACTATAAACCAGTATCACAAAGAATGATGACAGTTGGCCTATTAAGAAACATGTTCAAGGAGAAAATGTATTTTTAGCCTATTGTCATTGTTAGTATTTATAGCATGTAGGTTCAAAAAATTGTTCCTACATTTGTAAGAAAATGTGTCATTCGATTAATATAGTCAACACTTTGTAACAAGTTACCCTCTCAAAATTATGACAAAGCTTGAATCAAGTAGTATGATGTTTATAGGTATTTAGTATATATTATTTAAAAGTAAGTGGCCACTAAAATCAATTGTTAGCAAATATGGTAGGTGTCTCCTTGAAGGGTTAATAAGGAGTGTCTTATAACATAAAAATATATTCAAACTACAACACAGTAATAGTGATAAGATATATTCAGTAATAGTAATAAGATATATTCAGTAATAGTAATAAGATATATTCAGTAATAGTAATAAGATATATTCAGGTAAACTGATGTACTACCAATTAGTGGTGTATCATGGGTTACTGCCGACCAGAGAAACAAAAATACTTCAATGTTTCTTATATTTTAAACAAAAGTATTCAATAAAAGTATTATTTAATAACTAAAAAATGGTATCATGTAGAGGTTAACGCAGATACCTTACTTTTCCTTCCCTAAATACCACCTACGAAAATCTGCTGTCCAAGAAAATTAATCTTAAACATAATAGTACTAATGCCAAGTAAAGGTAATCATGTACTCATTTGAAAAACTTCATTATTATCTTTTTATATGTAAGTAGGCATAAAACTGTGAATAGGCTTATTGCAGGGTTATGTATATAAATGAAAAATTTATTACATAAATACATTGTATTGGCGGTGTAAGAATATCAAATATCCCATATCCTCCCATGGGTGATGAGCATAACACAATATATGGATATAGGAACAGGGCACGGGCAGAAGCATCTTCCTAATAACAAGTCCGTAATAATAAAAAACTGATGTTGCCAACCCCCTAGCCAAGTGTGACAAGTTCAGCAAATCATCTCACCTCTACAAGACAATCTATAGGGCCTATGATTAGCAATGGAATGGGCTGTAATGTACAAATGAATGGATCATGTTTCATCATCATCATCAATAGCAGTTACAGTTACAGCCTTCCACAAGTCAACTGCTGAACATAGGCCTCCCTGTTATATAGGTCCTGAGCCACCTGCATACATTCACGTTTACTTGTCTTTTAAATAAAGCTTTTACACAAAACCGCGGTTGCCAAGCTTGACAGCTATAGCAAAGCACCCTCATACGAGACATCTTTGGGGAGGCCTACCTTTACCTCCACCAGTGGACTTTCATTGGGTATAATGAAGGAATAAATAAATCACACACATCTTTGTGAAAAAATATTTAGACAAAGCTAAATTTTGCAACACCTACCTATTATAGTATCATTTGGCGATAAATAATTTACACCAAATTTTAACAAAGTCATATTACGAAAGATAAGTAATATTATTAATTTTTAGTTGCTATTTCACTTATGTATTAAATTCATATTATTAATTTAAAATATTGTTTACAAGCAGCAACAACACAAATCAAAATATTCCTAAAACAAAACACACAAATATTTTAACGTTAAAGTCAAAATTAATGACAATTTCATATAAATGTTGCCCTAAGTAATAATTGTTGCTTACGATTGTGCTTTTAGAATTTATTACGATTGATTTAAGTACAATTTTTCTAACATAAGATAAAGAATAAATTAGTGAAAATAATATTACATAAAAACGATAAATACACATTATTATTTTCCTTGCATATTAAAATAACTTACAAATTAAAATTATGTCTTAGGCGTTTAATAACTCATGCAATTTGTTTACATGTTTATTAATCTGCTGTGATATTAATTTAGAATATAATTTGTTCAAGTTAGAACTTATATTCAAATTATCAAATTTATAAATCCAATATAGTGGCTAATTATACATTCTAAAATTACTTACGTTCCTTTAATTGCTCACTTAAAAATTGTTTGCGCTTATTTACACTGCTTCTTACAAAATAATACAATGATCATCTGCACATTTTCACTTATTATGTTACATTAATATGAATTCAGTTAATAAATGGTATGGCGAGAAATGATAATAGCCATGTAAAATAAATCTGTAGTATCTAACCGGAGCTATGACAGTCTGAAGTTGATTTTGTAGCAATGCAGTGTTCTGCGCATGTTTTATGAATGAACCCCTTGCGCAGATCCCCTACAGAACTGAGAACTGGGCGAGCACATTTTAATTTTTCCTATTGACAATCTCGAATGAGTCAACGAACCTGAACACGGATTGTGGACTTTTTGTTTCTGCACATAAAATAACCGCTGGCTTGCCTATGTAATCGATTATTTTATCTATAAATTTTGACATATTTGTAAATTGATCACTAATTAGCTAACGTTTTTAAGCACTCGAGTTAATGAAAGTTTTCTTTATATAGGGTTTTACACAATATTGATGTACTTATACACAACACACTCAAACTTAGATCTAAAAACTAAAAACACATACATGCAATAACCAAAACATGCATAACTGCAATTGTCCTGAAATAGAGAAAGTCAACAGCACCAGATACTTAGGATTTAGGAATAATACTTGACCAACGATTATCTTGGCATCCTCACATAGATTTTATTAATAACAGAATCAGAAAGTTAATATGGATTTTTAAATCTTTAAGATATGTAACCACTAAAAAAGGTTATGTATTCTAAGTCGTACAGTTTTCTCACAGCTGAACTCTATCAATACAGTGAATTATTATCAGTAAGAAAGTTATAAATAAATATATTACAAACTGTTCTAAAACTCCACAGGTCTTTACCATTTAATTCTAATAATCAAAATAAAAGAAGAAACAGGTTTATTTTAAAATTGCAGAAAACTAAAACAAAATCAGCTAAACGACACTACAAAATACAATCAGCTCACCTATATAATAAAATTGATAAAATCATTGAAATATACCCTTTAAAATTAAGAGATTGTAGAAATAAATTATTTGATTGGTTGCAGCCACTAAGTTATACTGACACAGAAGGTCTTCTCTCAGTGTGAATTAGTGGGTGTAAGATATTTATTTTACAGCCGCTGGTCTATGCGACAGTTGTAATTATATCTCTGTTATATTATCTCTTCCATATTACCTCTGTTCTTAAATAATATAAAACTTAATTTAAAATGTTTTCAGCTCTAGTTCCCTATTCTAAAAATTATGATTTATAACAATAGTTTTCTTTTGTAAATTCTAATTCTGGATTTAAGGAAGCTCGAAACATCCAATGTATAGTATGTAAGCATCATAAAAGGGCGGAGCTGCATGCCACAAGTATATATATATATATATATATATATATATATATATATATATATATATATATATATATATATATATATGTATATATATTCCTATTATATACAATATGTAATGTTCATTTATTTTTTACATCTATCTCCTATCTCTTGACTAGGAGAGAATGCCAAAAGGCATTAAGTCCGCCTTTTATAATCCTTTTAGTTAAGACGGTTCCCCTAGCGAGAGACCTTGAGCGTTCGGTCCCATACAATCCACGCGCTCTCGCTACAATATATCACGGAAAAATACGCCCGAATATTTGGAATTATTTCAATTAAAAGAGATAAGCGAACTTAAGAAATTAAATAAAACGTGTAGAATATAGATTTTTAAATTATCTATCCATTAGTGTAATTCTCAAATGATTAGAGCATTTCCTTTAGCAACAGATGCATGTAATCAATAATTTTAGTCATTTTTTAAAAGTAGATTTTAAATGTATTCATAACACATAAAAACAAATTAGAACGTGGAATGTGATGATAGGATATCAAACATTAATAATGTGCTTTTAGATGTAGCTTATTTCTCATAACTAATGAGATAATAGTCTCTGAAAAACGCACTTTTGCCAGGTTTTGGTCAGGGTAGCGCCTTAAGATGTACAATTAAGAATTTAGACTTTAACACGCATGACTTATAAAGCCTTGGAGCCAACCTGGGTTCAATCCCTGCCGGTAGCAATGGAACTGTTAATTGCAAGTTTAAGTGCTGATTGATGAGACGTGTTCGGTGGTAAGGGAAAAAACATCGTGGGAAATCCTGCATGTCTGAGGAATAAAATATTGCGAAGACATGATTGTATAGAGTTCGCCTGTGTAACTTTTTAATTCGAACAACTTTAAGTTATGTGTGAAAAATCAGTGAAATGGACATGTATTTAGGTCCGCATAATAATTAACTCAATAGTTGCTCGATAAGTACACGTCTCAAATAAGCAGTTTGATCGATTTAACAATTATTGCCCACGCTAGGTCTGATTATAAGTTATTTAATTATATAATATGATGTAGTACAATGCTTGTGTTAAATAATATTCCAAATGGCTTGCACTGGCTGTTTTTTAAATTATCGGGATGACATTAAGAAACAAAGACTTGTTTCGTCTTCAGTCTTATGTCAGGTGACGGTTTTGGAAAATGATACACTGTGTTTTACATTTAAAAGGCGAAATTTAATTTGAAATATGCCGTGGAAATATGATGAAAGTCATTTGTAAACTATTTTAATACCAAGCTACAAAATATAATCAATAAATTAGCCAACATGGCTCATTTTGCCTTGCTATGGAAGGCAAGAGTCATTGAGAAATGTAGATTAGAATACGAAGAGGAAAAAATTCACTCTGTATTGCTTACCAACGTGGACATTCCTAAAAGGACAATGATGCAAAAATGGACACATTATAGTTGGAACACAAAACAACGTCTGATCAAAAAAATTAAAAAGTTATATCCTGAAGGCTCGTCGATATCCAATTTTATTGTTTATTTAACAACGGATCAGACCTTTCCCAATTTCTTGATGAAAAGTGTTATAGGATTTATCGGAGGAATCATCCTCACTTACCTTTGCTTTATGTTCTTCGTGTTTCAACTATCGATATCTTTGATTCATGCCACTATTATGAGCTCCATTATTGGAGTTCTTCTCACCCTTGGGCTAGCTTTCAGCTATCGTGTCAGGTAATTTTTTTATTTTTTTGAAGTGAAATTTCTTTAGAATCGTGATGAGAACATATTATATATCTATAGGATTTAGCTTGCGAGTGAATGAGATAGAATAAAGTGTAGTGTTTATCATAAATTTATTTATATTTTATTTACATAAACCCCGCAATTATTCTACTTCTGATACTCTGCGTTCGTCTCATGCCCTCGAAGTTTAGTTTTCTGAAGGTTTCACTTCTACCGCGTGTGAACAGGTTGGTTTTTTATGTTCGGTGTAAGAGCTCAGCTAGCCTTTTTATCTTTATTTTTTTATAGCATATGGTGATAAACGAGCACACAGTCCACCTGATGGTAAGTGGCTGCTGTGGCCCATAGACATCTACATCTATCCTCGATTATGAATCAAAATGCAGATGCGTTATCACCCGTGAGGACTAAGATGGAATGCCTCGTTTCCAGTAAAAAGGGTCTCCGGCTCTCTACACTCAACACACGAAACACAGCAGCATTAAGCTAATATTTTAAGCTGGTATTCTGTGAGAGCGTGGTCCTTCTCCGGTTGAGCCGACCCATTCGTGCTACAACTATACTACTAATATAACTGCAGCATGGCTCTACCACATAAATGTTATTGTGGGCTTTATATTACTAAGGGCACATTATGGCTTGAATATTTACTTCCCCTTCTTTCTGTATATTAATATTCGCAGGTGGATAAACGTTACAAACTACATTTCGTTACATTTTAGTGAGTTACCAAAGAGCTGGCTTGTTTTACTAATGTTACGCTGTTATTTATACAAAATTTATTGCTGTTACTGAGTAGTGGTGGTGTAAGAATATCCACTACCCCATATTGTCCCTTGGGTGTCGTAAAGGGCTACAGGGGATGCAGAGGGGAATAAATCAGGAGATGGGCAACAGCGTCTTCTTAATAATGACTAAAACTTAATACCAACCCTCTTGCCAAGCGTGGCAATTATGGAAAATATATCCCATATAATGCAATTCGCTCCTGCAAAATTGCGTCGCGGCAAAAGCAGTAGTACTACAAGGCCTGGGCTAACGCAGCGGCGTCCTTGGATGCAAATAATAGCGCACTCAAAAAGAAGTACAATTCTGCCTCCAGGTCCTTCAAAAGAGTGAACGCTAGGGCAAATTTGGAGCAAATTAGGAGAATTGGCGAGAAACTAGTAGGCCTTCTTTTGGGAACTCGTGCGTTCTGGTTCCTCGTCAAGGCTATACAATACACAAGTGTTAGAAATTATTGTAGAGGTTAATTGTTAAAAATAATAAATGTTCCATTGCATTCTTATGGAAGTCGGTCTTAGTGCATCCGATCCCTAAAATAGGTGACCGCTTGGACCAGTCGAAATAAGAGCTTGTCGCCATCACCTCCTTGTTCTCCAAAATAATGAAATCCATGACTAACTGCCAGCTCATGCGGTATCCTGAAGAACTTCAGCTGAACAGTGACCGTCAATACGGTTTCCGTCAAGGTCGCTCAGATGGTGATATTTTTGTCTACCTGACTCATCGATGAGGAGAGGCGGTCGAGGGCAAGGGGGAGGCCCTGGCGGTTAGTTTGGACATAACGAAGGCTTCTGATCGGGTTTGGCACAAAGCGCTTCTCTCGAAGCTTCCCTCTTATGCAATTGGGTCACCAGTTTTCTTATAGAGTGTTAAGGTTGTAGTCGACGGTGATGACTCCAAATATGTGAATGCTGTTGTCCCACAAGGCAGCCTTGTGGGACAACAGCTATCGCCTACCATGTTTCTTCTGAATATCAATGATATGTAGCATACTAGTAACATTCATTGTATATTTCTCGGGAACATGTAGTCGAGTACTGGAACAAACTTGTGTCTAAAGTCGAATCTTTGTTGAACGAAGTCCCGGATTCATCATCATCATCATCATCATTACAGCCCTTCACAAGTCCACTGCTGAACATAGGCCTCCCCCAAGTAATGCCACAAAGCATGGTCCTGAGCCACCTGCATCCATCGACTTCCTGCATATCTTACCAGGTCGTCACTCCATCTAGTGGGGGGTCGCCCTACCCTACGCCTACCGGTACGAGGCTGCCACTCGAGAACCTTTCTTCCCCATCGGTTATCGGTTCTTCAAGCTATATGGCCGGCCCATTGCCACTTCAGCTTACTAATCTGTTGGGCTATGTCGGTCACTCTGGTTTTACTGCGGATATCCTCATTTCTGAATCTATCACGCAGAGAAACTCCGAGCATAGCCCTCTCCATAGCTCGCTAAGCGACCTTGAGCGTCCTCATACGGCCGGCAGGGAAGGACCACGTCTCAGATCCGTAAGTCATCACTGGCAACACGCACTGGTTGTACAATATAGTTTTTAGAGATTGAGGTATACCTGACTAGAAGATATCGTAATTTCCCGAACGCTGCCCAGCCGAGTTGAATCCGTCGATTGACCTCTCGGTCGAAGTTGGACTTGCCTAGTCGGACTATTTGTCCCAGGTAAACGTACTCGTCAACAACTTCGAGCATAGTGCTCCCAACAACTACCGGCATAGGTGTGACATGGATATTAAACATAATCTTTGTTTTGTCCATGTTCATCTTAAGACCTATCCGTTGGGAGGCACTATTGAGGTCATTGAGCATAGTGCTTAAGTCCTCCAGCGATTCTGCCAAAAGTGACGAATAAGATGAAGATTGAAGATTGCCTGATGTTAAGTCCCGGATTGGGGGCGACTAAATCGAGTCAAGTTTATTCCCTAAAATACACAAGTTTCCATATTTACCACATAAAAGAACCCCTTTGTCGTATCTCCTCGTGTTCAGAGCACTCTCTTCGTTGCCTCAGCCTGCATCGGAATCCTTGGCGTCGACATTCCGTGAGAAGTAGAGTTCCGCAATCACTTGGAAGGGAAGACTAAACTGGCATTAAGAAAGTTTTCTAGATCAAGACGGTATTTCATGCCGACCCACCGCTTGTAACTTTACAAAGCCGTACCGCGAACTCAAATAGATCGTGGGTTCGAATCCGTCATTCGACTACTGGCGTGAACTACTCGTAGCACAAGCAATTTAAGCTTACCACGAGTGGTTAAGGGGAATATTAGTAATGTTTATAGCGTTGTTAATATTATTTCTTTAAAAAAAGCGGAGGTTCAGTCTCATATGGAATCATGTTTTCATCTCTGGACGCGGGCACCCCAGTAGCAGCTCCTTCCACTTGACCGTATTCATTGGAGAGCGGTCCGAATCTTCGACAATCAAGTTTTTTTTTATAGAAGAGGGGGCAAACGAGCATGCGGCTCACCTGATGTTAAGTGACTACCGCCGCCCATGAATAAAGTAATAAAGAAATAAGTTCTTTCCGATCGGCTTGATCGGCCTTACGAAGAGACGTTCCATCTCTACGCATCTTCTACCGCATATACCACGGGGAGTGCCCAGAGGAATTGTTCGGATTAATTCCAACTACTGAATTACATCATCGTACACTGCGACCGAACTCCAAATTACATCCTTATCATCTAGATGACTTTACACGAACACTCACATTTTTCCGACCTACACGACTTAAGGACGAAGGACGGGGAAAAGTACCTACTCCTTTCTAAAAGGTTGGCAACGCACCTTTAATTCCCCTAGTGCGATATTTATGGGCAACAGTGATCACCTACCATCAGTTGGGCTGCATGCTCGTTTGCCTCCTCATCCATAAAAAAAGTTAAATTAAGTTGGAAGCATTAATATGAATTAATTATTGTAGTAACTTATATGGATGCTTCGATTACAACAATAACTTTTCTTATCTATTATACTATGACTTTTAAATTACTGCGTAACTCGTCTTGAACTACAAATTTTATAGCTACATTTTATATTTTGATTATTTTTTAATTAATTTAGGAAAAACATGTACGTAAGCAAATGATGACCGTATCTGCTGCGAGGCGCACTGTATAGTATGTATCTGCAGTCTGAACTGCAGAATGGTTTAGGGCTCGGAATACCTTGGCTACATTTGTGCAAAAAAATGTTTTACGAATTTAGATGTAACGATAATGGTGGCACGTATTTTTGCGCGTACCCTTGTGGCGATATACGACAGGCTAGACAGAGTTTTGCGAAAAAAAGTTTTACCTACTTATGTACAAGATTATTTTGGAATATAAAAAAAAAATAATTCTCTTTCCCATTGTTGCAGGTGTCTTGTATTTTTACTTGTTCCCCAATTTTTCTCTCGCGTGGGAAGATATACGCTGACATGTTATGCCCTCGTTCTCATATTGACTGGTCCCGCCACAAACACCCTTAAGAACTCTGAGGTGCTGTCGGAGTCAATGGCTTGTAGCCAGGTAATATTTAGATGTTTTTTTTTACAGCAATAAACATGATAATTACTTCTATATAGATTCAAACTAGCTATCTACCTGTCTTGAGAAACTTGGTACAAAACGAAGTCTTAGACTGATTCCGTTGCTATGGTCAAGTATCCGATAAAATTTCTAGCTCCATGGAGTACCTAGGAAGGGTGGTACCATTTCGCAGGAAAGTAGATGCGAGGATGAACACAGGGCACGATATCCTTAGAGAAAGGCGCGCATTGTTCGTATTATTGCGCCTAGCTTGTATAATTAGCAATTTAGCAAATTCACAACTTTTAATAAATTACAATGAAAAATATTATAAAATTTTATTAAGCGTTTTACGATTTTTTTATTATATAATGTTAAAATTAGGTATATAGTTTTATAATTTAAACATTTAATATATTTTTTCATTAAAACAATTCAGTAGAAATTGAAAAGGTTTTCTAAGATCAAAATTTTCTGATTACTTCATTACATTCAGGAACAAATAAAGACAAACGTAAAGCACATAGCGGACTCAATAAACAACCCATTCAACGCTATGAAGGACTGGATAAAGGTAATGACGGAGAGAATAAAAGGGATAGCCAAGAAGACGAAATCGATGCTTGTGACAACACATCGAATGGTGATCGGCATTGGTAAGTAAAACTTATCTATAAAGTTGTTGCCATATAATTGAAAACGTTTCTTAGTTTAATAAATATTCTAATAAAAATACCTTAATCTTTTTGTATGTTTTCTTCGAAGTAATTTTTGTTACCTGGACAGTCCAATATGTAACAGCTTTGAGCCGAGAAATTTTGTTACATAGGGTACAGTGTGCTTGTGGAAGTACGTCTTCTGAGTAGGGTAACATAGTTTTCTTCACGTCTTTGTACTGGAATATGACCAGAAAAACACAACTCATTATCACGTTTCCACGTTGTACTTAAAATCGAATACTTTGTTGGATGAATATCGTACATATTGTTTTACATCTGAGTATACCCTGTTTAATTTAGTTTCATCAGAAAAATAAAGTTTTTCTACTCCGTGGCTTGCCAAGTTTGCTTACTTTTTTACAAAAGCAGTACGGACATGCCTAGAACCGTTTTAACATTTCTTTTGCCAAACGTCTTCCAATAATGCGTGCCGAAATTGCTGGGGTGTAATTTTCGCTAAAAATATTAGTTTCGTTAGAGCCTTTGAAAGTGAGGATATTGTTTCGCCAAACAAATAATATTTAGATCGTCTCGACGAGATATCTTCCTCTGTCTAGGCACGCTAAGTATAATATTTGCAGTTCGATCGCACAATATAATACTTTACCGCACTGAATACCATAGTTTTCTAGTTTTTAAATGGTTTTCTATTTTTTATATGACTAGTTCTTTGCGTGAAATTTTATTATAACTTCTCAAGTAGGTTTGTCACAAGATTTGTCTTCTTTATTATATTGGGAATAAGAACTTTTTAAGATATTTTGTAATTCCTAAATAGCGCCAAATTACAAAGAAAAGATATTTGAAATCAAGTATTCATAATTTGATATTTAAAAAGTACGTAAACTACGTTCAGCGTTCTTAATTAAGGGACCAGCTAGTATCTAGTTCTACTAGGTTCTCAAATGTTAGATTTGCTTCATTTATAAACCTTAATTTTTATTTTATTTTAACTAATCATGTATTTTTTGAACAGATTACTAGACTTACTAGTTTAGAAGAAATTTATAATAATAAAAAATAAGTAAAGGTTATGATATTATATAGAAATTTGTTAAAAAACAAATTGGTTAACCGTTCTTAATTAACCATCATTCTATAAGTTGAGTTACAGTCTATACACATCCCATAGTTTAGCACAAGCTTTCAAGTTAGGATTAAATAAAATCGAATTTTCTGAATTTACTAAAACCGTATTGTTATATAAGAACTTTAATTTTAGAAACTACATTTGTCAGCCAAGGTTTTGGATTCTGTTTCTTACAGAAGCAAGTATTATTTAAGTATCTAAGCCAATATAAAATCTCAATTCTGTCGTATAGAGAATTCATTTGAGTCGCAAACATTATTTTAATCTACGATCTACGAAGAAATTATATGACTATTATCGTTGCACAATTATCGTTGTAATGGATCGATAGTTGAAACTACTGGTGACCGACTTTTTATGCCATTAGATTATATTTACAAACGTAGCTCGCTGTTTATTTTATGATTCCTGTTGATCGTTGGGTAGCCAATGTACACAATACACCCTAAGCCAAACAAAGCTGGGAGTCGCAGGTTCTTTGGTGACGGAGTTGTTCATACCGTGTAGTTACATTGATGGTCTTATCATTTGAATCAGATAATATGTTTGTACAGGATTAACAAATAAATTAAGGCGCTTTTGTTGTTCATAATCTAGAACAGGGATTCCCAAAGTGGTCGATATCGACCCCTTGCGATCGAAATCCGTTTCCCAGGGGTTACATAAACGAAAACTGATAATTTGTAACTGTAAAGGCCGATCCTCATTATAATGCCGTTCACAGTTCGTTCTCGGTTCTATCTCGGTCCGATATCGGTTTGATTTATTATAATGGAATGGGATTCAACCGAAACTCGACTGTTACGGATAGTATGAATGTGTTCTGCCCGGGGAGCGGCCAACGCACCTTGAAGAATACTTTTCCCGGCGGGAGACCTCCCTTTTTCCTTTCACGGCCACAGTGGTGACCACCCGACGTGATCTGAACACGCAACCAACAACCTTTGGGAACTTCAACTTCAAGCTTCATCATCGTCATAAAGTACCCAACTCATTCACTCCGAGCAGACATCGTCTGCAGTCTTGTCATCCTGCAAGCCATCTAGCTCTACAAGGTTCATCGTAGCGCTGAAGTAATAATGCTTCTTGTTCCTTCAAGCTACTCTTCGCGCTAGAGTGTTCGGCATGGCTCTGAGCCATACTGCTCGCCTCTGCTTCACAGCATTCTTGCAGATTACATGCCTTCTTCTCGACTCACCGCAGACTACAAGGCAATCCCCTGGACCTTGCACGTTCGTCGACAACTAGACTGTATCATCGACCTCCGGTCTGAGCAGAGGGGTGATGTGGCAGCGCTCTCGTCGCACCACAAGCGAAACCTAAATCAAACCTAAGCTTAAATCGCGCTACCAAAGTTCCGAATCAAAAATAGTATACAGGATGTTAGTGTAAACACCGTTATCCTTGAAACCAGTGATTTGGTTTCACTATAGCACGTAAATTCAATGAATTACAAAAACGCTATTTTGTTTCATAAAATTTAAAAAGTTTCTATCCGACACCTTTCGTAAATTCATGGATACCCTATGCGCCCGAGTGACGTAATCACTGTAAAGATCACTGCCCGCGCTAGCTACCTACACAACATTCAACATAAAAACCCAATAGGTACACATAACCTGTGACGTAACTTTTCCTTCATACTTTCATCAGGCAAAAATTGAGGAATTAAGGAAAAATTGAGATTTTACAAAAAAAAATGTTGTTATTTTTCATTGAATTTTAGTAAGTGAAACCAAACCACTGGTTTCAAGAACAACGGTGTTTACACTAACACCCTGTATATAGAATAGCTCCGAATTATCACATGGAGCGTTGGCTGCATCCCGGGCAGAACACCTTGCCCGGGAGATCTCCCCTTTTCCTTTCACGGCCACACACACACATCATATTTTTTACTTAATAATATTTTATCGGACCGAGAACGACTATGAACGGCATTATAATGAGGATCGATCGATAAGTTTATTATCAATTAAAATTATGTCAAGTTTACTCACTTAACCAATCCCAAGGTTCTTAAATTGGTAAGTATTTTGTATCAATAGGAGAAAACAAAACTAGAGATGTGATTTTAAAAGTAATTTGGCTATCTGGTTCTGAGGTATCACTTTATTTTGGAAAAAGGGTCTCTTGCCTAAAATAGTTTAGGAATCCCCGTTCAGCAGCAGGACGTATTAGTCTTTTGGATTATTAGTTTAAAAATAATACTCGGGCTTGAACAATCGATCCAAGATTGTAGGATCGAATGTTCAAGCCCGAGTATTATTTTTTTAAACTAATACTGCTTCAAAAAGGAGGAGGCACTCAATCTTAATATATATATATATATATATATATATATATATATATATATATATATATATAAATTACGTGTCACATTGTTTTTACGCGATAAACTCCTAAACCACTTAACCGATTTTAATCAAATTTGTACATCCTGTGCAGTTTGGTCCCACTTGAGAGATAGAATAGTTTTTTGCTCATGAGTGACCCACAATTATGTTTTGCTAATTTAAGAATTTTTAATAAGACGTGACAAAGGGTCGTCGAAAAGGACAGATCAAAGTCTGCCTAGCAAGCCAGTATGTGCAGTTTAAGACATAGATCAGAGGTTCCCAGACTTCTTTTTCTCGTTTTATTTATATTTTTTAATTTTACCACTTGTCTACAAAAATCCGATGCATTAATTTTGTATCTAACAATTTTTTTAATCTCAATACTATGACATCTACGTAACAAAATTAGTTAGAACAAATAAGCGACCAAAACTTCTCTTATGAATTTCCTACCCCATGATATCCCGTAATTGTCGTAAGAGGCGACAGAGTGAAGTTGAAAAGGCCGGCAGAATCTTACTGACAAAAAAAACCTGTGGCTACTAACCCGCTTGCCAAACGTGGCAATAATGGCAAATATACTATAAGATGGCAGTCTATTGGGAAGCCTTATGTTCAGCAGTATTTTTTTATAGGATAGGGTGCACAAACGAGCACACAGTCCATCTGATGGTAAGTGGTTGCTGCGGCCCATAGACATCTACGTCTATCTTCGATTACGAATCAAAATGCAGATGCGTTGTCACCCGCGAGGACTAAGATGGAATGGCTCGTTTCCAATAAAAAGGGTATCCGGTTCTTTACACTCACCGTAAGAAACACTGCAGCATTAAGCTACTATTTTACGCTGGTATTCAGTGCTATCGATAATGAAGAATAATTGACAAATCCATCATCACTAACGTCGGCTCAGGTCTTGATGCCCTCTTCTTTCTTATCTGCCCGCAAAACTCCTACTTTTGTAATAAGGTCATATTTAATCACGCTGCTAGCCTGAATATTTTTAATCGATGCACTTGTATAATTCCACGCAGTAGAGCCATGCTGAAGCTTTATTGTAGCTGTAGCACGAATGGGTTGACTCGACCGGAGTAGGACCATGCTCAGAATACCAGCGTAAAATAGTGTTTGGTGTGTATAATTGATAGAATCAGACGTTACTTTGCGGAAATCCATTATAATAAAAAATAAAAATATAAATTTCTTTGCAACCTTCCGCTAAATAAATACAATGATGTGTCTTACCTGGATTGAAGAGCACCTCCCGCCCTCCCTCAATTGCATGCACTAACTCTGTCACCACTAGTCCCAACACCACTACTTCCGGCACCACTACTTCCAACACCACTATTCCAGGTAAGACACACCATCGACGATAATACGACACGTATTTCGCCTCTACACGAGACATCTTCAGGTAAAGTAGACTCTACGGCAGCTGATGAAGATGCCTGGAATAGTGGTGTTGGAAGTAGTGTTGCGGGGAGTAGTGGTGTTGGGAGTAGTGG